TATATATATACTGTAGCATGCTAGCAAACATCCGTTAGCAAATAAATTTAGTACTGAGCTTTTGTGGTTTGTCTTAGTGGGAACAAGAATCTTTAAAATGAGCAACACACTTAGATGGCACAAGTCCTTCCATAGCTTTCTTTTACCATCATTTTCTTTTTGCACATACTCATTATTTAAACGATTACGAAAATGATTATGGCATAAGATTCACTTTAGCCGATCCTTGGAAATTATCCAAAATTTTTTAACGAAAAAAACAAATTCCCCAAATGCTTTCTCTGGTGGTGATAACGATAGTAATAATAATAATGCTAATAACAGCAACAGTAATGATAGTGGTGATAACGATGATAAAACTAATGATAAAAATAGAAATAAAAATAGTAATAACAATAAAGCAATAATTTCCTGCCTTCTCTCTTTTGATTATTATTTCTTTTCCTTTATTTTGTCTTCCATCAATTATTACATATGATATAATATTAGTTATTGGGAATGGTAATAAAAGCTTGGATTTTTATATCAATTCAGGCAAATAAAAGCTAGTTGATATCTAGTGGAAAACGAAACTCTGTGGAGCGTGTCAGCTGTTTCTGAATCTATTTTTAAATCCATAAAAGCAACAACATAAACAAACAACAGGTAGTGTTTCTCAACACCTGTCACATTTATATTGATTTACATATTATCCAAGGATATGAAGATTTTTGAATATCCCAATTTGACAATACTCTAAACACCTATTAGAACCGATATGTGTTATCACTCTATATGAGCATATGCTTATCACTAGTCATCGGTAATAAACTTAATACGTCACGATTAAAAGACTACATGATTTCGGTTTGAAGTTATTATATTAACTCATCAACTTGTCCTTCGATCACATATTTCAGAAACATTTCTTGAAATATGCCAATCATGCACTCACTGTTATCGATGTAGAAGAGATGATAAATACCATACGCATCACATTTTCATTCATATCAGTGAGAAAGCTTTTCAAGCAAGCATAGGCGGTATGGCACGTCAAGTCAATTCGCGCGATTCGATTCAATGTGGTTCCTCTGGTCTCTTTGAGAGTTTCTGAACAAATGCATGATTTCCTTTTAAACCAAATTAAATATTGGCATATTCCAACTAAAAATAATGAAATGTTATCGAGAAAAGTTATTTTAAAAAAATGTATATTTAAGGTTAAAAGTAACGACAGTATCACAGCCACTTCTGGTAGATGTCAAATTAATAGGACTAATAGTCTGATCCTGACAAGTTCCTCCACCTGAACACCTCTCCGTTAGAAGTCCTATTAAAAAGTAGGGGGTTTAACAACCGATCAAAAAGCGAAAGAAATGACTGCCCGATATTTTAGAAAGGAGAAGAGCAGAAAAGAGAAAAGGCCTTTGTAATTATGAGATAATGCGTCCCTTCGACCATTCAATATCTACTTCCTCTATCTGGCAAAAAAACGCAGAAAAGCTTTTCATTTCAAAATGAGCTCAACAAGTTCTTCCGCAATTAATGAATGCATTCGCTTTTCTGTCCTTACCTTCAGAAACAGTGAAAGTTTTTTCTTTTATAGGCATTAGGAATACTGTAACGCAATTCTCTCTAACTGACACAGTAACGGAACAACAAAACAATCCATAATGCATCCTGCACAACTTAACGTGCCATTCAGCCGGATAGTCTTATAATAATAATCGTCCCTGAAAATGATGAATGAAACGTCGAGAATGGTTTTAAGAGGTTAAAAAGTGAACATTTAATCAATCAACTTGAGGATTACATCAATCAATTCAAAAAACTTGCTACACGTTGAGCTCAATTCTGCAATTAATGGATGCATTTGCTTTTTTGTCCTTGCCTTTAGAAACAATGAAAAATGGGCAATTAGGAGGCAGAAATGCTAGAATAAAATTTTATTATCCAATTAAATTAACTCAGAAATATGTGAGAATTAAATGGAATTTAGAGGTAAGTATTCGCTTTTCCATTTCTCGTGAACTAACTTAATACCCATTACTGATAAATATTGAAAATTTTCTCCTTCTTCTGCTCTCCACTTATTCTTGTACCTTACCGACGTTTTATGTAAAGCGCTTTGTATCGTCCCCTATTGAGAGTTTATTTTCACTTAAAGATAATGAAATACAGATCAGCTCTAATTCGCAGAGTCGGAAAGTGATTCAAAAAGACAGCTACTTCATGGAAATTGAAATATGAGAGGAAACTTTGAGGGAATTTCCTCAATATATCAGCTTTCTTTTGATGCTTCCCAGCTCCTTTTAACTAAAACTATGGCTGATGATATGAGAGAAAAAGTACCAGAACACTGCAAAACGATGGAAAGAAATGTAGGAGACATTTTTAGTTATGATGGATAATTCATCAATAATAAAGCAAAACTAGGTTGGTCGACACAAGGTTTGTCTTAGAAAGTTTGTTACTTGCAATTCCAGCTTGATAATTATAAAAAAAAGAAGTGCATGACAAGAAAGGTGAATATAATAAATTTTCATTATAAATGAAATTTTTGCAAATCAACGATAGTTCCAATAATTTACAACATTCATTATCAAACATTTCCCATTTAGAAATGGGCAAAAATCTATAAAGTTGATTGAAGGAACCTTCCCTTTTTCCTAAGGAGACTTGACAAATTTTCCCATTCAAAGCTGTTAAATGGTATAGTGTCATTTCGGTTATGGAACATCTTCCTTCACCACTGCTGATCATTGGAACTGTGATTTTGTTCAATACTTAGAAAAGATGTTTTTCTTCTTACAAAGTATGTATTAGGCTCTGGTATATACATGTATGTATCATGCATGTCACACATTATATTTGGGAAGTTTTTTGCAGTCGTAAAACTTTCAGTTTCAGAGTTACAAATCCACGACAGCATTCGTCATGTTTTGCTCTTTCCATCATATTCTCTGGAGAACGAACAGGTACCCTTTGATCAAACTTAGTGGTAGAAAAAAATACTTTCACTATAATCAAAGAACAGTTGTATTCTTGCATTGGTCGTGCCAAGATGTGCTAACTTGAAAAAAAAAAAAAAAA